AGAAGAAATGTAACCCGTGAAACTTGGTGTGATATTTTTCTATTTTCTGCACTATTTTTTCATCTAATCTTTTGCAAACATTATTAAAATGTGACATTTTTTAAAATAACAATTCAAAAAGTGACACAAGGTGCAATTTCCTCATTTTGTTTAAATATCTAGTAGATTTATTATACATATATTTTCAAACTAAACAGAGAAAAATGGCAATTTTTTTTCATTAGGATAAAAAAACTCAAAATACTGAAAATATGTTCATCCAAAACATTTGAAATCATGTTATATGTATATAAATACTATTTTAAGCATATTTTTATATAAAATATGAATTCAAAAGTTTTAAATGAATGGCCAAACAGCCACACGAAGAACCTAGTCCCATAACCAAAGGCATAACTTACAATGTAACATCATTCATGGAAAGAACAATGGAAGACTCCCTCAAAGAACATTCAATGCAGTTTATGATGCTGGTAGCACTCCACGCCTTCAAAATTGCAGCTGCCTAATAGCTTCCAGTTTGGTTCAGCTCGACCACCTTTGTATGCATACTCCGAACGTCTGAGTAAAACCTTCTCTGAACATTTGATTTATATAAATCCCATTCTGATCCTTTGCACCGTACTTGAACAGAAACTTGACAAGCTAATATAACGTAATGTTGATTCAATAATCAATACACAATCATCGCCGGTCCCAAGCCCAAGTGAGGGGGGTAGCAGTAGGTTGATAACTAGCATAAAACTGTGTCAAATCTTATGATATGAAACCCTATAATACACACCTGTTTATCGACCCATGGAACATATCCAAACGAAAGGTAAAGTCAAGAAAATAAACAAAGTTCAGGGAACCAAGGTTTGACTCCTACTAGGAGCACTCTTTATCTTCTCCAAAAGAGCTGAACGTCAACAAACATACAGATATTTGGAACTTATTGCATCATTCAACAGACTGTCGCTGTAGATGCTGAAAGTGGGCAAATAAATGATATATCCAATCAATTCGTTTGCATTGCATCAGCATGGTACTTCTCTAAATCGGCATCCAGGTCTTCAGCAGATACCTTCTCACCACGGCCTCTTCCTCGTCCACGACCTCTTCCAAATCCACGACCCCGTCCACTACCACGCGAGTTTCCAAACCCACCAACCCTTCTTTGTCCACTGTTCAACAACCATATTTCAATCAAAATATGATAAAACAACCCACTGATCATGTCATTCCTCAGGAAAACAAAAGTTGCAACGAAGCTTGAGAAAAAAAAAAAGCATAACTAAAATCAAATAGATGGAGCAAAATTCGGTACTGTGAATCAAATATATGTGGCAAACTCCAGTTTCAGAGTTGCACTCCCAACCAAATAAGAGAATTTTCTTTATTTTTTTTCTCACTTAAATTTTTTATCTATATCGTCACTTTTAGTTAATATTTTGTTCTAAAAAAAAATAAAATAGCTAGTTATTCCATCTTCCCAAGTAGGGGTGGGCAAATTAACCGGCCTATCTGACTAACTGGACTGACCCGACCTGAGCCGACTGGGGTCACTCTAAGTCCGTTTTCACCAGTAAGTTTGAGTCGGGTTCTTGTAATTGTCAACAGACTCGGATCAGATCGAAGAACTGATCCTACCCATCCCCTATGGAATTTTTCATTTTTTTCTTTAAATCATTTAAATCTAAAATGAAAATGGCCTAAAAATCATTTACATGATTGAGGAATCTGCCTTCTCCCTTACTGTGTGTGTATATGTTTTACAGATGATACGCAGACCCCAAAAATTTACTTTAAAACAGGCCCAAGCCAAAACCTGCAGGCAAAAAAATCCACGATTTTGGGCCCAAACCAAACTGACTTAACTAAGCCCGACCCAAACCGAATCTAGGACATCATCATAGTGTGTGAAGAAGATACAAAACAATCTCAAGGAATAGTGGAGAACAGAAAGTGTATGATGTAAGACGCTACTGGCAGGAAATTTGTGAATGTAAATTTGGTGGACAAGTGAGAAAAATAGTGGATAACAAGAGCTTTAATCAGGTAAAGAGGTATAAAACATAGACGGGTCAAGAGAACAACAAATCTGTTTTAGATTCTGATGAACACCGAGAACATTTTTTTCCATATCTGTGGACAATGACGATTTATTCAACTGGTAAGTTGCTAGAAAGTATAGGATAACACTAGAAGGTGATATATAACTGTTCAAACGAATTTTTTGGGACTGCAGTTGCAATTATCCCCTTTGTTCTTAAATAGAATATCGATCATAATAGACAGCCCACAATCCAAACTGAGGATGGGTTTTTGGGGTTAGCTCANTTGGGACTGCAGTTGCAATTATCCCCTTTGTTCTTAAATAGAATCTCGATCATAATAGACAGCCCACAATCCAAACTGAGGATGGGTTTTTGGGGTTAGCTCACCCTCGCAAACATCTTTAAAATTATAAAAATTTTATTCATTCCAACAAACTCTTTGTGCTTTTTATTTTACTTTTTCCATCATTCAATAGCTTAAATATTCAATATATTATGAATAATGAGTGCTGGAGAGCATTGAAACTTATAATTGTATTAAATACAATCATGATAAAATACTAATTGAGAGTGAGTTTGGCTCTCCAAATTAAAAAGTCATACCAATCTATTTTAAAAAGTTAAAATAAAGACTCTTGAAGTCTAATGTCAAGTTTTGACTTTTTAAAATAAAGAACATCTCACAATTTAAGAGTTTATTGGAGATGCTCTAGAAAGTGATATTGATCATGTACTATACTAAGTGTCACCCAATTTCTAATATATCTAGGTATCTTGTAATCTATTCTTTCATCCATCGCTTGACCATATTAATCCCATAAACCCAGCCAAAGTTTCATCTTAGGAAACCATAATCAACTTTAAAAGTTATATTCTTCTATCTCTATTAGAGCCCACTTGGGAGTTTTGGGATACTGGTTATGGGATCTCTTAAAGTACCAATTTTAACGTTTATGAATAATCCAAGTTTTGTTGCTTTTAGTAGCAGTTTTTAAAATAATCTAACACGTGCTCGAGAGTTTATTATCCAACGATTCTATAAGTTGTATAAAAAGTAAAATTACACGTATGCCCATATATAAAAAAAAAGGTAGGTGCGTGTAAACAATATAGAGTGAATGTGTATGTCACTCCTTAAAATTCAATATAGCTTTACATAGTTTATCCAAACATTTTGTATTGTATATGAACTAACATGTGGACTAATTAATGTTGATTTTAATAAACTCTTACATGCCAATCATTTTCTATTGGAAATAATTGTTTTATAGGGTAAAATTGGAAGAAATTTTGAAAAATGCCAAAAACTACCAAATTGGTAGGTTGAAAAATACAACCTAAATTACACTACAATGGCCCCAAAAACTAACAAGCACCGATTTTCCCAATTTCTCATAAATAGTGACACCTAGTGGGAAAAACTAGCAAGCCGCCCCTAGAGTTTAAACCTATTGGAAGAAGTGTTTTCCTCAATTTCCTACATCATCTTTTTTTCTAAAATAACCACTACCCTAACTTATGGACAGGCGGGTATTACTTGTGAGTCCTACAAAATGTGATGATAAAAAGTAATTTGACTGTGTATAAAAAATGTATAAACATTGGCCAAACATAGGATTGTAACGCAGAACTGGCTGTTAAAATATAAGTCAGATACTCTGCATGTAAAACCAGTGGCAACAGTACATGTTAAAACATACAAGTAATCAGAATACCCACCTTCTAGGGACTACATTTGCATCGCCAAAAGCACCAGCAGGTGGAAGAACAGCAGCAGCAGCAGTAGCAGTAGCAAGGTTAGTTCCTACAAGCTCTATTTTCATCGGTTTCCCATCAAGCTGAACATTATTATACCTCTTGACAGCATCAAATGCGTCTTGTCTTCTTGAGAAGACTACTTCAGCTGTACCCTAAAGAGAAGAGTATTCTCTGAATCTCAGATAGACAGGGAAACTTTGCCAGAATACCACACAAGGCCAAATTTGAAAAATACCTTTGATCTCCCACTCCTATCATAGTGTACCATATACCGTTTCATATCACCAACTTCAGAGAACAGTTCCTGCAGATTAAAACAATGTATACTTCAAGTTAGAAATAGTCAATTAACCATTCTTAAAGTACATGATAATGACAGGAAGAAAGAGCCAGGAATAAACAAATTAACGAAGCAACAAAATGTACTAGATTCTTAATCAACTGAATCATTTCCCAACTCTTCCTGCAGAGGATTAAATCTAATGTGAATCATTTCCTACTACAACCAGAACATTTCGACCTATAATAGCTAACTAGATAGGATAATGCAAACTAACCAGAAGCATAAAAATCACAATTAGATCAGGAAGTCAATGCCATTAAAAAAAGCGCTTAATCTGGAAATGCTCGACAATTTCAGAGAAAAAAAAACTGCTTAAAAGCACTATGCCCCTGTTTGGGCTCCATTTTTTCCAAAAACCCATTTTTCCAAAACTCATTTTCAACCACACATTTTTCAATCAAATAATTTTACATGTAAACCCAAAAGTTTTCCTTATTTTTTTAACCACACATTCTCCGAAAAAAATCAGTATTCCAAAATACACTTTCCCCCAAAAATGGGGGTTAAACAAAGGGCTATGGCATTTGAGGAATACATGTAGATGGCTGAAGAAACTGACTATAAACCTCAGCTGAAATCTTGAGTAGAATGATCATCATACTAAGACACCACTGCTGTAAGAAAAAATGCAGTCATGAGATTTCCAGTGTAAACAATCTATGTTCAGGAAAAAAGTTATGTCCCTGTTTGGCGGGGAGATTAAAATCAAATTTTTAGTAGATTTTGATAAAAATTGATGAAATATGTGGTTAAAAAGTTGTGGGCCCATAAAATGTGTGGTTAAAATTTGTTGTTGACTCAACTTAGATTAAAAATTGGATTTTAATTTCTACCAAACGGGGGCTATATATTTCAATACTATATTTCCTTTTGTAAGAAAGTACTATACATAATAAATGTCCAACTGATATGAACACTAAGCATAGCAATATCAGCCTACAGCGAGTACAGCCCATGGGATTACAGTACTCAAGCCTCTCACTGACATGTTAATTGTAAATGAATCCTGCAAGATTTCAACAGAATTCAGTATGATAAGAACCCCAAGAGAATCTAAATATACTTTGACAACGACACCCCATCCCTATTCCCAAGAGGAAAAAGAAAGAAAACAAAATGAAATATAAACTCTAGCTAAGCACCCCAAATCTACTTTCCTGATGGGCTCAGAATGGTGAGGAGAAGATAGAGGAAAAAGGATAGAAAAGACAAAAGAGTGTTTTCGTCATGAAAACAACAACACTCACTTGTTTTCATGTGTTCAATACATCCTCAAGTCAAAAACACTTGCCTAGACAGTGGAATATAACAGTAATGAAAGATGCTGTGGAATCCCATGATGCCATAGTTTGTGCCAAAATGCATCTCAAGAGCTTTAATTTTTTATTATGTATAAAAAAGGTTGGTATGGAGTGAAAGAATGCATATAGCTGACACCAACTATTATCCCTCTGTATGCACATAAGATCTGTAGTTGGATAGAAAATAATCAAGACATTTTGAAATTACTGTTCAAAAGCATGCTGTCCAGAATTGTCAGCCTTGTTTCTCCATGCATTCTGCAGCTAAACATCTATAAAACACGTCCTTTCTCGACTCCAATAACCTCCTAAACAGACACCTCAAGTTAAGATTACTGGTTTTGTGTCAGATGGTATGAGAACCCAGTTATCCTACCAGCTTCACTTTCAAAAATTACATAGACTTCCTATAATAATGATTTCAATCATAATAATTTCACTTTAAGTTGCTCTTGGAAAAGAATATAAGACCAAGTAATCTATAACGAATGCGACATAAATAAAGTGAAGAAAATAGAACATGTTTCCAAACTAACTGTCATCTGCACAAAACCTCTAAAAGCAAACAAGTTTTTAGAGTCTCTGTACACTACTTAGCACCCATGAACAAAATTCCAGGCTTTACATTGAGACACGAAGTAAACAATTTTAGATTTGTTATAATGCAAGATGCTCCTAACTGCAGAGGAAGAAATTTGCTAAATTACGCAGCGAACGAGCGAATCCTGCGGAAAACAAAAAATGAGTAGAAGAGAGAGAGATACAAACTAATGTGGTTTGGAAAACTCGTCGATGACCACCGGACAATGATAATCAATCAACTCAATAAGCTCAAAATACAAGACTTCTCTCACTCTCAACCTCTCCCTATAAAAAGCTAGAAAACTCAATGCACAACATACGAACGCATGTCATTTTCTCTTTCTTTTCTATCTTTCTCTCGTGCACTTAAAAACTGCTGTGTGCACACTTTACTTAACCCTCAAATTTCAATTTATGACTTTCATGTATTTACATAATTCCTCCAACCAGCTTCCCTGCTATCTGCCATAGGGTTTTTGAGAAATTGCATATTCAGAAATTTATAGTAGACCCTCAATCTTTGGGATTATATTTCTTTACCCTTACCCTTTTTCTTTTAGTTAACTTGAGACAATAACCCATCACTTATCTCATTGAAGATTATTACACAGTCATAACTTCATTTGTATATCACACGAGTTCTATTCCTAGTGCCTGCAATTACAGAATAAATGGAATCCCTAAGACAAAATGTTTCTGAATGTGTTAATCAGACCACATAAGCAATCAACATCCTTTACTTTCTTGATATGTTGAGCTCCACACCTTTATCCATCCATTATTCATCTTGTTCCCAGTCAAGATTTCACCATGTTCCAGACTCAGGATAAGCCATAATCAAATTTAAATGTTCTATGTTTCCAGTGCCAACTCTAAGGTAAAAGACTGAGAGGGTCTTCTCCCGCTTGTCCAGCATAATTTGGTATAATAAGAAGAAAGATGTGTGAAGCAAATTGTCGAAAATCAAGTGCTAAAACAAAAAAAAAAAAAAAGAAAATTGTGGTCAATGATGGTAACATCATTGAGTTTGAAGAAGAATGAAATACTTCTAGTCTAGACTTATAAGGATGATAAACAATATCAAAAGGAAAAAGGACAGTAATATTTACTATATAGAACATTACAGTTAGAAAATTTGGGGCTGGTTGAGGTAACGGACGAGTTAAGGTATGGAACATAAAAGGATCAACAGAACAACAATAATTTTCTATTTCAGGTGCTAATAAACAACCCTGAGAACGCTAATCAACAGATCTGTGGGCGTTTGGTAGTTAAGGTTTGGGCTCCCCAAAGAGCTTAACTCGACAATTCAACTCATAAAGGGAAGGATATTGTTTGAGAAAGATGGATGGATATAACTACAAAATTAGACAAGAAAGAATAGAGGAAGCAGAAGTAAGCTAGTTCTTGAATCTAAGAGTAGGATAAGTTAGATTGAATATCACAATCTCGGAGAAGCTTCAAATTAGGGCTGGACATGGTCCTCGAACCGAGCCGAACCAAAATTTTC